GGGAGATTCTTTCTCTAGTAGTTTACATGAGATCTGGTTGCTTAAAAGAGTGTGGTATGTCCCCTCTTCTCTCTCTCTCACTCCCACTCTTGCCATGTGACACCACCTTCTCCCTCTTCCCTTTTACCATGATTGCAAACTTCCTGAGGCGCTTACCAGAAGCTCATGCTGGAGCCATGCTTGTAGAACCTGCAGAGCCGTGAGCCAATTAAACCTTTCTTTATAAATTACCCAACCTCAGGGATTTCTTTATAGTGATACCAAAATGGACTAACACACCATCCTAACCATTTTTTAAAATTAGTTTTTGAAATAGGAATCTCACTCTGTCACCCAGGCTGGAGTGCAGTGGCGCAGTCCTGGCTCACTGCAACCTCTGCCTCCCAAGTTGCTGGAATTACAGGAGTGCGCCTCCATGCCCAGCTGATTTTTGTGTTTTTAGTAGAGATAGGGTTTTGCCATGTTAACCAGGCTGGTCTCCAACTCTTGACCTCAAGTGATCCACCCACTGCCTTGGTCTCTCAAAGTGCTGGGATTACAGGCGTGAGCCACTGCGCCCAGCCAATCTTAACCATTTTTAAGTGAACGGTTAAGTGACATTAAGTACATTCACAGAATTGCACAACCATCATTACTATTGATCTCCAGAACTTTTTCATTTGCAAAACTGAAACTCTATATCCATTGAACAGAAACCCCCATTCCTCTCTCCCCCAGCTCCTGGCAACCACCATTCTATTTTCTTTCTCTGCAAAATGGACTACTCTAGGTTCCCCATGTAAGTGGAGTCATATAGTATTTATCCTGTTGTGTCTGGCTTGTTTCATTTAGAATGATGTGCTCAAGGTTCATTCATATGGTAGTACGTGTCAGAATTTCCTTGTGTTTTAAGGCTGAATACTGTTCCATTATATGTGTATACCACATTTTGTTTATCCCACATCCATCAATGGACACTTGGGTTGCTTCCACCTTTTGGCTCTTGTGAATAATGCTGGTATAAACATGGATGTGCAAATCTCTCTTCACATCCCTGCTTTGGTACTTAGCATTTTTATGCCCAATTTCCAACTGCCTGCATCTGTGTCTCCTTACCTAAGGGTGTCCTCTGACCACCTGCTCTACTCACATATGGGTAAAAAGTCAGTCCCCCTCCCACCAATTAGGATAGAAGTTGATATATAACTACGCCAGGTCCCTTGCCTCTGGGGTGGGATAACTGAAGAAATGTATTCTGCACATTTTCCTGAGTTCCCCAGTGGGATCAGACCCCACTTACCCTTGGTGGTAATCTGCTTGATAACACATTCTGTACTGGCTTCCTTCCTTGGTTCATTTTTCCTCAGTCACGTTGTGTTTCCTGGAATATTTCCTCCCAAATAAACTTCTTGTTCTCAAATACTGACTTAAGGTATGCCTAAAGGAGAACACATCTAAGAGAGTTAAAAAGGTGCACTGTGAATATCTGTTTACATGCAGGGATACTCTCTTTTTGGAGAGCAGCAGTGAGATTTCAGTATCTGTGGTGGATTCTTAGTCGGGGGTACATCTGTCTTTCCACCCCATTCAACTGATGTTCCGAATAAAATTAAATCTGTTCGTATGAGCATTTAAACCTTGTTGTAACATTTTATACATGTTTTCAAAACTCTCTTTTTGCTTCAGTTCTAACTCAACAACTTATTCTCCCAAATTAATTACCATACATGGAGCTAGATCTGAAGAAAGAAGAAAAACAGCTCTACAAACAAATAGGTCTTTTGTTGGATAGGATAGTTGTTTTCTATATATAGATTCTTGTTTCTTCCTTTTGCTACCATGTTTAGCCTCTGGGGCTTCTCTTGGTTGTATCTAGTTTGTTGTTCTTGGCTCATTTTGACATTCTCTGTGTATTGTATTTTTAATATTAAATTATGTATTTAGCAACAAGCTTAGAAACAGATGAAGTTTCTTGTGCTAGAGCTGCTACTCAAGACAAAAATGCAATGCAGTCGACAATGTAAGTCAGAGCTGTGCTTCAGTGTCTTTGGGGGCGTCTGGCTTCTAGGGAGGTGTGAAGTTCCATTGATCTTTGGGAGCTGTTAATGTAGGAGCTTAGTTTAAGTATTTACACACCAACCTTATTTAAGGCAGCTACTGCAGAAACTTAGTAAGCCCTAGACTTGCCATTTCAAAGGGAAAATGTGTGCCTTTCTAAAAACTGCAGCCAGCTTCCACACTCCCCACACCAAAAATAAATCTTTTAATTGTGTATGATGCTGTAGATGCATGCATACTTCAAAAGTCTGCTTAGGTCTTCCTCTTCTGAATTTAAAAGATAAATTACTATAATTGCTGTGTCGTCTAGCTGGTTTATAGTAAATGAATAACTTTCCAAGTAGAAAGCAGTTTCAGCTACAGAAAATAGACAGTAATATCACTGCAAGTGTTTCCTCTTTAAAGTCATTGAAAGAGTATCACAGCAGATGTTTTCTGTGTTTGGACTGTTTTCCCATGAAACCCATGGATGACGTTTGCACATGATAATTTAGCTCCTTAACTTAGGAACAAACTTATCTGATTTCATATACTGGAGTTTGGAAATCCTTTTTGTTAACTTAGCACAGTGGTAACTGGAAAAAATAAGCTTTTTAAAAAGTAGGATAAATTGAAGTTGTGATCAGATAAGCAAGAAGTAATATGAAGCCCAAGCAAAGTAAACTGAGTAATTGTTTCTCTGTGCCAACACAGACCATCATATTCATTATGCCCATCAAAATAGAGGAGGGCTAATTTAGACAGATAAAATGAAGTCTATTCTTCTTTGTGAAAGGAATCTGAGAGTTTCCTGGGAAAACAGCTCAGCCTCTCTAAGCCTCTTGCATTTCCATGGGCCTCATGGCCAGCATGTAATAGCATCATGTGAAGTTACATTGCATACTTAGGGGTGGTACTAATAGCATAACTTGACTGTTTTTTTTTTTTTTTTTTTTTAATTCAAGGAGCAATAACTGACTTTCTACTCTGGGCCAGATCTGCTCTGTTCTGGAGATACCTGAGAATGATCAGTTCTTTCTGTTTAGCTAGTAATCTTTCTATATATCTATTGCCCCATCAATTGATTTATCAACCAATTGACTAACTGATCTATCAATCTGTCTTCCCTCTTTCTCTCCCTTTTTCCTTCCCTCCCTCCTTCTTTCCTTCCTTTCTTGCTTCCTTCCTTCTTTTCCTCCCTCCTTCTGAAACAAAATATTAAGCTAAAGCTAGAGTCAGGCAGCTTCCTGGAAGTTGAGCTCTGAATCTTACCTTGGGTCCTCAGTAGTAAGATATTATTGGATCTCTGTGACTGGTAATAACTTTACCTGTTGAAAGAATGAGATTGGCTCCTTTGAGTGCAATTGGTGGTTAAGGGCATAGCCTCTGGATCAGAGTGCCTCTGTTTGACCCAGGAAGGGACTAAGGTGTGTGGTGGTTGCAGTTTTAATTTGGTATAGATTGTTTCATATATGTAGTCACTGATTTTTAATAAATCTATTGGTTCGTAGTTCAAAAGGTCTGGGAAAAAGACTCTGGTTTACAAGAGTCTAGCTGATGCTTGCCTTTCTAATTTCACACTTCTGACCTTTGACTCTTACCTGTCATGCATGCTCCTTATGCAATGGCAAATGACTTCTTGTTTTCATATCTTCTTACCTTTAGGTCTTTGCTTACGTTGTTCTCATAGTCTGGGGGTTTTATCATTGTGCTTTGTGCATACTTCTGTTTTTCTGATCACATTGAGTTGCAATTACTTTTTTTTTTCTTTTGAGACAGACTCTCACTCTGTCACTCAGACTGGAGTATAGTGGTATGATCTCAGCTCACTGCAGCCCCTGCCTCCTGAATTCAAGCAATTCTTCTGCCTCAGCCTCCCGAGTAGCTGGGACTATAGGTGCACACCACCACGCCCAACAAATGTTTGCATTTTTATTAGAGGTGGGGCTTCACCGTGTTGGCCAGGTTGGTCTTGAACTGCTGACCTCTGGTGACCCACCCACCTTGGCCTCCCAAAGTGCTGGGATTACAGGTGTGAGCCACCACACCCAGTTTGCAATTACTTTTTAAAATCTGTTGTCCCCACAAGCTTGTGAGTTCAGGGTGAGCTATCACCAGGCTACATGGCTAGGAAGTATTTGATGGAAAGAATGAATGTTTGCGTGAGACCACTACTGGAAAAGGGGCTGACGCTGCATGAATTGATAGCTGGCCCACCCTCAGCGAGCTTTCCTCATGTTGGGTGACTCATTCCCATGAAGGCACTGTGGACAGCAGCTCTCCCTGGGCACATGATGTTAATGCCACTTCACAGTGGTTCTTCCTCTGTCTTTTTGCATTTTAAACTTTTAGGAGACATCAGTGTCAACTCCAGGTGGGCTTCACAATACTCCACGTAGCTTTGAGAGACAACTGAAGACACGCAAAGAGTGTGAAGACAAGCTTTGTGCCTCAAATGTCCCGCTGTAAAGACCAGGGAAGGGGAGAATTTTTGAGAAGTGCAGGACTGGTTCAAGGCACTGTCTTTTGCTCCAAAGCCGCACTAACATTAATTTAGCATAATATAGACCAGTTGTTCTCTATCTTGCCTGCACATCAGTATCATCTGGGTTTCTCAAAAAATATCACTGTTGGTATCCAGCCCCAAGAGCTCTTGGTATAATTGGTCTTCCTGAGTTTCAGAATTTTTAAGTTTCCCACACATTTCTGTTATGCATTCAACTTTGAGGACCACTGATGTAGAAATTAGATTACAGATCTTCATGTTAACATTTCCACAGTAATTTACTATTTTCCTTCTTGGTAATTTACTGTTACTTAATAATTTTATAATTTTAGCATAAGGAATAAATTAGTACTTCTAACTTCATTCAAATTTATAATTGCATTAAGTTAATTTAATTAATATGTAACTTTTTGGTAAATGACATTGTATAACCCCATTTTTTTTTTCTATCCTTCTCCCTCTTGGCCCTGAAACTCAGATGAAATATCTTCGAGAAGCAGCTGACCAGTCTTCGTGTTGGTGGAAGTTGGAAGGAAGCCATTTTTTAGATAGTGTGCCCAAAAAGATACAAAATTAGAACTTTCCTTTTGGTTCCTGTTCTGCCTCCTGTTTCCAATACCCACAGTTCTGTTTGCCTAAGAGAAAAAGTAGGAACATTCCCCATGATCCCAGATAATCCTTCTCAGAGACTAATTGTTACTTTTATGTTTTTCATTTCATAACCAATAATATACTTGTTATGAATATGCTAGTTAGGAAGAAAAGTGAAAGAACTGTCTAATTTATTCTAATCATCTTCCCTGTTTGGTGGTTGGAATGAATTTTGACATTATTTTAAATAGGAAAGCTAGAGATAGTAGTTTAATTTATTCCATGCCACTGTATGTCAAGCACCAATTTTTTTTTTTAAGAATCAGTTTATAAAAATTTGAGATTCAATGACTTTTGCCATTGAGTAGGTAAGCACTGCTGTAGAATGGCTCCTTTTGGCAGAAGATAATAGCTTTTAAGGCAAGAAATATCATGATGTAAGCTGTAGAATTTTAGATTACTGTATTGTTTCATTTCAAGAGGGAATGTTAGGGTAGGAAGAAATGGTCAAAATGATATATATAGTGCAACCCTCCCAACTTCCGTACAATGTATGTGTGCATATATATACACACACACACAAGGTTTTTATTTGTGAAGTATACCTCAATAGAGCCAAATATACAATTTAACTTTAATGATCATGTAATTTTTATTTGTCGAGTATACCTTATGAACACTGAAAAAATAAACTAGCCCCCAAACAAAGGCAAACAAAACAAAACAGTTTGTTTGAGCCAAAAACAACTAAGGCTCAGGGTAATTATTGAATTCATTGGTTGATCATTGTTTATGGAATATCCTAGGTCTGCCTCTCTTGGAAGTGCTGTGTTGGGTGTGGGGAATGAGGTAGTGAAATGATTTGCCCATGGAGACATATGAAGTTATAGCAGAACCAGAACTACAAAGCACGACTTTGTTTGTTTCTTGAGGGTATTAATTTATAAGAAATTTCCAGGCTTCATTTTTCTAATTTCCCTACCTTGATTTTTTTATAGATATATCCTATAATGGATTAAGAGGGTTTCCAATAGATGTTTATGCAAGGTTTATGAGTTTTAAAATGGGTATATTTATGCTGTCAAACCTAGAAAATTTGATTAAAAATATTATCTAATAGCCATTTGGTTAATAGGTTAAATCTTTACTTTCTAAAAGTTCTTTTTTTTTTTATTGTATAGAAAAGAACATTTTGCTCTTCCTGAATTACGTATGTCTAAGAAAATCCTCTGAAGAATGGAGTTGTGTGTCAGTCCTAGTACTGGGACCCCTAATTCATGTCCCTTTTACTGCTGTAAATTTTTAGCAAGCTTTTAGGTTGGACAAGAAACGTAGAGCTCCCCTTATCTAAGCTCATTTGACAGATGAGAAAACTGAGGCCTGGTGGGGAGGTTGAATTATTTGAGGAAGTTTATAGAGCCAGTCTGAGGCCAAGCTGGGGACTAGAAGTCAAAATTTTTTGATCCCAAGGTCAGTACATTTTTACTTTAGTGCAGAGTAAAAACTGTAGGCAGCATTTGTTATACACATAAATACACATACACACACACACACAACGCCTCCCCCCCCCACACACAATACCCTCACACTCTAAGATGTGTCTATTTTCAGAAGTGTGGGTTGTTAGTTATGCATTGTCTTAGGTTGGCTTCTCCCAAAGCTGGTTTGAGTCAAGGATTGGAGTGCAAGTAGCTTACTTGGAAGGTGGTCCTGGGAAGCACCAGTAGGGGAGTGGAGGAAGTGAGATAAGGAAGGAAAGGCAGCCAGTACAGTGTGTGCTGATAAGCAGATTCCACTGTGGGCAACTGAGGCCTCTCTGTGCTGGGGCCCTTTTGGAGACTGGGTAGAATATGCTTCTGAGTTGTCCCACAGGAGAGGCAGGCAAGGAGCTGGGCTGTTTATTTACTAGTTTCTGGGTCACTGCTTGGGGGCTTTTCCTGGAAGCCTTACTCCTTGCACTTGTAGCTGAAAAGTCTACAAGTCAAGAGGGTTTCAGTTCCTGGAGGAAGGCTTCTTAAGTGCGTTTGGTAACTGAGTCAGTGGGAATGTGGAGGAATCGGCAGATCACTGGCAACTTCTGTGTGCACTCAGAAAGAATTGGAAGTGGATGTAAGCGCACATTCTACACACAGTCGATTCCAATATGACAAACACTTTGTCTTTGCTCTTTCCTCTTCTTTCCATCATATACTTACTGCTTTCATATGGGAAGGATAGAGCTGAGAAATAAATACTGAAACTGATACCATCAGGGTTGGATATTCTGTTTGCCCCTTAAGAGTCACTCTCCACTTTCTCCAACCTGCTCTCCTCCTGAGGCTGGGCATTAATTGCAACATTGGTGAGCTTCCTTGCCCTCTGGTGTTAGAATGGGTTCAGGCAGTGGGAGCTTCTAGAGGAGACTGGAGGGAGGAGAACTGTAAGGTCAGTTGCTAAGAGACTCCCAGGTCTCTTCTTGCCAACATGCTGTTGGTTGACTCTGTCCCCTTCCTGGAAGCCAGAGTCGACCAGAAAGATCTCTCCTATCATTCTAATACTATTCTTGGTTTCTGTAGCTCTGTCCTCTTACTCCTTCAGACCTAGGACACATCACATTCCCTGCATGGTTTCCCTAATCCCTGCCCACACCTGGTAAATAACCTTTTATTAAACTCCCTCGTTGCCCCATTTGAGTGTTCCATCTGTTTCCTGCTGCGACCCTGACTGAGGCAACATCTTTAAGGCATTTACTCTCTATTCAGAATCAGATGAAATGAAACAGCTAGAGATGTTATGAAGGTGTAAGATAATGAGGCATAAATTGTACTTAAGCCCTAAGGACACTCAGCATATAGGATCCATTAATAAAGAAGGGTTACTTACTAAAGAAGATGTTTTTTGGAGGCGTGCCTTAGGTTGTAATCGTTAATCTGCTTTCTTTCCTGCTCTGTGGGAAGCTCTGTTTAGGTAGTGAATTGAAATTTGGAAGTTCTGCCTTATTATGACCATGTATGCAGTTAATTATAAGGTATATAACTCTATAAAATGGAAAAATTGGTAATTCAGAGAAACAGAAGGGTGAAATGGATCTATCCATCTGGAAATTTCAGAGATTTCTCTCATGTGTGCTAATTTTAGATAAGTAAGTATTTTCCTCTTAATTCCTAATGTTTCTCATCCCTTTAATGGATTAGAATTGATTTTTCTCAAGTATTTTTTTTTTTTTTTTTAAAGCTGGTGTGAAAGGCATTTCAGGCTGCTTAGAATAAGGCACTAGCAACAGAAAGCACCCATTCTGTATGTATTTGCAGAGGGCCTCTTATGATTCAGGCACTTTGCTTAAGTACCATTAACTCAAAATGAATGATATTTGATCACTGCTTTCAAGGAAATCACAATGTAGTTGGGAAAACAGAAGTCCAAACAAATACTTGTGACAATATTTTTTAGTATTATACGTATGTAGAGAATTTTATGTGCATATAAATGAGGATATATGTAAGTAATTCTGTCAAGGAAAGCCAGAGAGGTTAGTGAATGACAGAAATGTTTCATAGAGCAAGTGACATTGACTTGGGTCTTGAAGGATGATAAAGAATGTATCAGGAAGATAAGAGGAGGAATGGCATGAAGGAAGGTGTGCATTTCCTGGTGGCTTGAAGATTCAGTGAGATATATGATTTGAGAGAAACGTTGGTGGCCTTTGGAGAAAAGGCTGGACTTCAGGCCATAGGATAGAATGGTAATCTGATTCTTAATATGCATCATCACTTAAAATAATATAGACTAAAAATTTTAGTAAAAATATACTCTAAAAATATTAGGGGAGTGTAAACAAAACAAAAATAATATCTTTGGGAATCTTTAGACATTTAATGGGAAATATATTGCTAGATATCATATAGCACATGCTCTAAATACTGAGCAATGTATGATTTTAATTCAGGAGCATCTCAAAACAGGGAGAAGTCCCACTGGTATCTTCTGTCACTACACAGCTTTGCTCAGATTTGTGTGCACTTATACTAAATTTGCCATTACACAATTACCTTGTATCACCATAGAATTACCTAAAATATGGAAATATGATGGCTTGCTTGGAGATATGGTAGAATGCCTTTTCTGTTACTAATGATTATATTAGCATCCATACTTCACAATCACCTGTTCAGCAGAACATGTCTGGATATACCTACCGTAAGAGATATTTGTGCCTTATTCTTTCTAAATATTCTAGTCCCTAAAGCTTAAGGGGTCAGCAATCTTGATATTATAAGGTGGGCTAATTGATGAAGACTGTCTTATCATTACAACAGTTATAGATGCAATGAAGTTTTGAGTGCTGCTTACTAAGTAGGAAACTGGTAAACAAGAATTCCACTCCAGAGGCATGGGCAAAATGGTAACTATAGTACATGGGTATTATAGTCAAAGCCTTTGTAAACGGAAACCCCTTAAACTGGTCATGTTAAAGTTCATTATATTGTCTAGAAACTTGAGGTCTCATGAAGTACGGGGAGAGGAACAAAGTCCAGTCAGGTATCATGGAACTGTTAATAGAATGCCAAAGTCCAGAATTAAGCTTATACTCCCCATCATGCAGACAGTGTCTTTTTGTCTATCTGTTTTATTCTTTCCTTATCTTGTTTGCTAACCATGTTCTATCTATATTCTGTTTTAGTCATCTCTTGCTTTTTAAAAAAACCACTCCAAAACTTACTGGCTTAAAACAACCACCACCATTTAGTGCCTTTCATGAGTCTGTGGGGTGACTGGGCTCAGCTGGGCAGTTCTTCTGTTTCACATGGTATTGGCTGGGGCTGAAATTCTGTGGGGGTTCATATGAGCTGGAATGCTCAAGAGGACTTACTCACATGGTTAGTAGTTGATGTGTTTATCGGATGGGGGTTCAGCTAGGATGCCAACTGGAACATCTCAGTTCTCTTCCCTTTAGTTTCTTTTCATGTGACTTGGGCTTCTCACAGTGAGGGAGCTGGCTTCCAAGAGGGAGCTTATAGGTGTGCAAAAATGGAAGTTGCCAGTTCCCTTAAGTCAAGGGCTCAGAAGTCCTGGGTGACCACTCCCAGTGCATTCTGTGAAAGCAGTCACAGGGCCAGCTTCCAGGAGAGGGGGAATAGACTTGACTTCCCAACAGGAAGAGGGACAAACCATTTAAAACCACATTTTTTGCAGAAGGCGCAACATGTTCCACGTGCCCCCAGTCACCAGTATTCATGGAAACATTCATTAAGTATTCATCATGAATTGCCTATAGCCTCTGTGTCTCTTAGTTCAAATGCTCCCAAGGGACATTCATATTGGTTGCTGACCATCCAGTCATCTGTAGTTGACAGGGCCAAGTCTTATGCTATTAAAGACTTTCTTTGAAGGGGCTGAGGTGGGATTAGTGCTCTGAGGATTATTTGAGAGAACGCTTAGTGCCTGGCTGTTCCTCTGAGGCTTGAGATAACTTTTCTTTCCATGGTCCAGAGAGCTCTGCCTGACATCTGCCTTCTAGCTTTTTCTGGAGCCATTTTCTCCCTCATTTTTCAGCTTTGCTTTTTTGTTTTAAGTTTGTCTAATGTGCCTCTTCCCTTTCTGCTCTGTGTGCTGCACGTCCCTGAGACAAGAAGGCTGTCTTCTCTCTCCCAGCCCCTATCTGTTGGCTAACTTCTAACCTGCTCTTCAGATCTCAGCTCAAATATCACTTCCTGAGGGGAGCATGGAACACTCTGGATTAAGCCACATCCCCTGTCCATCTCCTTTTCCCTCATCTTGCTATCATACTTTGTGACCTTATACCAGTGTGGCTATTTGATTATGGTCTGCCTCCCCCTGAAGGCTCTAGAAGGCAGAGGAATGTGTCTGTCTTCCTCAGGGCTGCAGTGGCCATGCATTGCTCATGTTAGGTACTGATAAGTGTTTGTTATTTGCATGAGTTAAAAATTAGAAGTTGAGATGGTTTGGTCATTTGTCCCCTCCAAATCTCAAGTTGAAATGTGATCCCCATTGTTGGAGGTGGGGCCTGGTGGGAGGTATTTGGGTCAGGGGAGCAGATCGCTCATGACTGTCTTGGTGCTCTCCCCATAGTAATGAGTGAGTTCCCGTTCTATTAATTCACGTGAGAGCTGATGATTTAAAAGAGCCTGGCATCTCTCTTGCTGCCTCTCTTCCCATGTGACATGCCTGCTCGCCCTTCGCCTTCCACCATGAGTAAAAGCTTCCTGAGACCTCACCAGAAGCTGGTGCCATGTTGTACAACCTGAGGAACCATGAACTAAATAAACCATCTTTCTTTATAAATTACTCTGTCTCAGGTTTTCCTTTATAGAAATGCAAAATGGACTAACACAGAGGTAGTTGCCCTGAAAAAGAAAAGACCAAGGGGAGAGAATATTTATCTTGATGAGAGAAGTTAAGACTAGCCTCGTTTCAGGGAATATAAGGACATAGTTTCTTGGGGACTTCCGCTCATCCCCATTGGTGATACCATGTGAATCAGTGAAGTCCTATCATTAGGGGTAGAGGCCGCATGCTAGTTTGAAATGTAGCATGAGTTCCTGCCCAGTGATGGTCCGTAAGTGCCTGATTCAAAGCCAACTTTTTCTTTTTTTATGCTTCTACCACCATGGGGCCCCCAATCTGTACCCAGAGATCTCAGTGATGGCTGAACTTTGTGACCACTGGGCCATAACTGCTCATTCCATTCCTATTTGTTCTCCCATGAAGCCAGTATCTTGTTTGGCTGCAAGTCAAAAAGATTGGTTAGATTACATCTTGGGATATGATGGATGCGCCTGTGAGCATAATCTCCATGAGATAACCCTAATCAAAACTTTTTGTCCAATTCTTCTGTGGCATGCTATTTATCTAAAAAGAAAGTAAGTTAGGAAAAGAATCAAAATACCAGATGGGAAACATAAAGACAGAGAAGGAAATAACTGAGATTTTGTTTTATTTAAAGATTCTACACCCTTTGCATGTCAGGATTTTTCAATCGTCACTTTTAGATTGAGATAAAGATGGGGGCAATCTTGTTTAAGTTTACTTAATTTCCCTGAAATAATTTAATACTGTAAATATGTATTGAACACTCCATATGTATCTCTGTGGAGGGTGTAAAAACACATACAAGTTGGTATATAATCTTGAAATTTATACCTACCCAGGAAATATGGCATGCATATATGACATGAGGTCCAAGTGCAACAATCAGATAAAAAGGGCTAATAGGAATTAAATGGGGGATGGAGTAGTCAGGGGTGTTTTTATAGAGCGGCTAGACATTGAGCTGAATCTCCTTGGATGAGTAGATTTAGGAAAAGTTGCCTAGAAAGTAAAGGGAGAGGATATTCTAGGCTGTGAAAGCCCCATGTCTGAAAGTTAAAGTGTGAGAAGGAACAGGAATATCCTTTCATGCTCCAAAGGCAGTGAAGGTATACAGGGTAGGGGTGGGAGGTTAGAGAGTGGAGGGGTATGGCAAGCCACTGAGTGAGATCCTTGGAGGCCAGGTGCAGGGGTGGGATGCTTGCAAGCAAAGGAAGTCACATCATAAAACCTGTGATTTGGAACATTATTTCCTTTGCAGTTGGTGAGGTAGTTTTGGTGAGGAAGAGGCTGGAGCCAGAGACACCTCCTGGGAGATGTTGTGGTCAGCACCACAAGGATGGTGATAGAAACTAAGAGAAAGGGAAGTTCACAAAATGGATTCAGAGGAAGAACAGGTGGATTTTCATGTCTGGATTCATAGTGAGGAATACAAAGAAGGAAGAAATAAAGGGATCTTGAATCTGGAAAAATTATTTCCACAACCACCAGTACAAAGATTGGAAATAGATGGTCATGCCAAGGTTGTGTGGACCAGATGAATGGAATAGCTTATAAGCAATGCTGAATAACTGTGGGTTGGTTGAAAGATAAAGGCTGGAGGTGCAAATGAGTGTATCACCAGATGCTGTTGGACTAAATAAATCCAATGAAGACAAACTTGGGAGTTTTACTAGGCATTTTAAGCAGGGAAGTGAAAAAAGTATGTCCCATATCTTCAGATACTGACATCTGATTCAACAGTAAATTCTGTTGTTGTTCTACATTCAGGACGTATCCCAAATTTAAGCAGTTTCTGTTGCTGGTATCACTGCCTTCCGGTCCAGTCATCACCCTTCTTCACCTGGATTCTGCAGTAGCCTCGAACCCTTGCCCATCTGCAGTTTGTTCTCAACACAGCAGCCCAAATGATGCCTCTGAAATAGATATCAGGTCATGTTGCTCTGCTCCTAAAGTGGTTTCCCACCTCATTCAGAGAGTAAGCCAAAGCACTCACAAGGACCCCCAGGGCCTGGCATGATCCCTTTCTCTTAATCTCTGACTTCATCTGTTACTACCTTCTCCTTTGTTCACTCCATGCTGGCTTACCTTGCGAACTGCTTTTCCTTACACACACTGGGCATGGCTGCCGCTGCCCCAGGGCCTTTGCACATTCTCCCTCTGCCTGGAAACTTCTTTACAATATCTGCAGGACTTGTTCCTCCCCTCCTTCAAATCTTTGCCATCCCTGTGACTTGTACCCTGTCCCTTTCTTTACTTTAGTCTTTTTCCTCCATAACCTTTAGTGTCTTCTAATATCTAGACCATTGGCTGACTTGTTTGTTGTCAGTCTCCCTCTTTAAAATTGAAGTTCCATGACAGCAGAGATTTCTATCTGTATCGTGCATGGACATCTTAAATGCCTAGAACAGTGCAGGTACTTAGTAGTAAACATTTGTTGAGTGAATGGAAGAAATTATGTTAGAAACTTCTTTTTGAGTGAAACTTTGATTTCCCTGAGATCAGCTGTCAATAATTTCTATCTTTATATTCAGGCATAGTCAGTGCTCAGTAAATGTTGAATAAGCAAGCAGAACCTGAAATATAAAATCCTAACATTTCACATTATCTAGTTCCAGAAAGTTTCAGTACTAAATGTAACATTTAAAAAACGATGGAGGGGAGGGATGGTGGAAGGATAGTTTCGGTTCATTTAGCTTAGCCTCCACTTTTGACTTCAGAATTCATATCATAGTTTGGCAATTCTTTCATTATTACTATGATTATTAATTGGATGCTATTTAAAAATTTGGCTTTTAAACTCTCAGCTGATGTTTTAGGAGATTATACTATACAGGGTACGGAAATTGCCGGGGCTGACTGTAACTATTCATGGCCAATTAAGGAACAGCATTGGCAAGAAATATGGGGTGGATACACTTGTGCTTTGTGGGAATCCTGGTGGCTATGGCTTCATAGTATCAGGGGATTAGCTTGCTGGGCTTCCTTCTGCAAAAGGGATCTTAATTTGGTTACCTGGTGGGTGCTTTTATAAATGAGGAGAATAAACAGTCTTGAGGGACTTACATTGTTGGAGAGTGTTGGAGAGTTAAAGATAGAAAGAAAAGAACAAAGTGAAGAAATTACTCTTTATTTGGGAGCATTTCCTTGAGAAGTCTTTCTGAAGTTTGCTTTTAGTTTTATTTGGTATCACTTTTATCTTTTCCCAGGGGATGCAGATGTCTTTTGAAAGAATGCATGCAGAAAAAACAAGCTGTAGGAGGCAGAAATAAGTTCTTGAAAGTTTAGTAAGTTTTGAAGGACAGAAGTGCTTGGAGAAGCTGGGCTGTACCACATCTTTAAGGTTGATATCTGGGAGAATCAACTACTGTGTTTCCTGCTATGACCATTGATGTGTTTGTTGATAGATACAACTAATGACTAGGTTCTTACTTATATTTGTATATGGAACTTTTTAAAAGAGTTCGAATAACAGGGAAATATGACACAAAGGAACCTGAAAAACATAAGCAGCAGATTACACCTTTGTTTAACTTTAAGGTTAAAACAATCCATAGAAAATTGTTTTTGATTTTTCTAGCTTATGAAAATACTGTACAGCCCTTTGCAGATATAGTATCTAAGGGGTTTAAAGCTGGTATGGTGGCTCAGGAGGCCAAGGCTGGAGGATTGCTTAAGCCCAGGAGTTCAAGACCAGCTTGAGCAACAAAATGAGACCTAATCTCTACAAAAAAAAAAAAAAAGAAGAAGAATAAGAAAGAAGAAGAAGAAAAGAAAAAGGGGAAGGGGAGGAAGAAGAAGAAGAGAAAGAAGAAGGGGAGGAGGAGGAGGAAGAGGAAGAGGAAGAAGAAGACGAAGACGATGAAGAAGAAGAAGAAAAAGAAGAAGAAGAAGGTTCGATAAAATTAAATCCCAGAGAACAAGGCCATACACATACCCAGCCGAAAGATCATTCATGTGACATTTCCTAAGACTTCTTGATGGTGTCAGTTAGGAGGATGTTTAAAAATCAGTGGCAGAGCTATTTTCTTAGCTCTGCCTAAAAGTGCCAGAGGTATACTGTGTTTTCAGTCTGGGATCTAAAGCCATGTGAGAAGAAACATCAGAGATGAAGGCTTTTTTGGTTTTAAACCATCTTAGCTATGTTTGCACTCGTTTCTGTCCTCATTAAAGAGGACAACTGGGGTAACTGAGATAGTGAAATTTGTATCCAAGGTGAAAGTGAGTGAAAACAAAAATATTTCTCCAGTGTGTTTTTGTGATGAGAAGCAGGAAATCTGAACCACCGAGCTCTTAAGAAAGTCCTTCACTGCGCCTTTGTTTGCTGCGTCAAAGAGACCACTTTCATTACATAGCACAATTCTTGGAGTGAATCCTTCACTCTCAACAAATGAGTTAAAATGTTTTTCTCTAAAAAATAAAAAAAGTATCAATTTTATTTTTATTAGGAAAAGAAAGACACACTGCGTCCTATTTTTATTCTGCGTGTGGTGTGTTTTATATTTTTGACAAGTGCTCTCACTTCAAAAAAATGTGTCTACATTAATTCAAAATTCATAATGATCACTCTTATCCAGCTGATACAATTATTATCAAGGTTTTTTTGGTTTTTTTTTTTTTGGTCTTCTTTCCCCTGCTGTTGCCTAGTGTTTGTAATTATCTTTCCTTGAGGTTGGGCAGGGGAGAGGATAGGGAGAGAGAGTTCAGCAAAAATCAGTCATGTATTTAGTGTGCCTTCCCATTCGTTCATTTCAACTTCCATTTTTCCATTTATCTTTCCATTCATCTGCCCACCCGTGCAATATTCATTGGTCATCTGTGAGCCACCTAAATTGGAATAAGCAAGGATCTCCCCTATCAAGGCGTCTAGAATAAATGCTAGGCATTTACAGTGGGGAAATGTTATTATCAGGTAAATTCTATCTTTAGGAGGGGTCTTGTGACCTGTTTTGGGGGGTTTTAGGGAAAGCTTCCAGGAAGCAGTACTGTCTCAACTGACATATAAAGGGCAAATTGAAGTTAGCTGGAAGAACTGCATGTTTGGGCTAGAGTGTGGTTAAGGGATGAGGAAGAATTTCCAGCAGAAGAAACTCCATGTTCTAGAGGTCATATTTTATGTGAGGGTTGTATTTCTAAAGTTCTTGCAAATTTGGAACTCCCATGATTCAAAATAATTCTGTCAAAAGATGGTGGGTATTTTCATTTACCAGCTAACATGGTGCTACTCTGTGGCCACTCTGTAAACAGCGTTTAGAGTTTCCTCTGCCCCAGCCAGCATCAAGACTACAATTCTTGAAGAATTTTTTTTGGGGGGCCTACATTGATCCAAATTAATTTGAGACCATATTAGTGCTTTTATATCATATTATTTCAAAGCTGCATGATTCAGGTTCACCTCAAATATGACCAAACTCTGGAGTTTCAGAGCAGTAGCTCACGGCCCATTTGATGGTATTAAAAGTAGTTCAGGACGGATAGCATGTACACCCAGGACTAGGGATGAGGGAGAAAAGAGATAAAATGGATAAGGAATCAGGCACCATGTCAGCGAAGGCTTGTAAACTGTGTTAAAAGGTAAAATAGACACAATAAAATTTTGAAGAATTTATTCGTGTACATAGCAATTCATGAATTGGGCAGCATCAGATAGTAAGTGGTTCAGGGCTCCATTGAAAGGGCACAAGGGGAACATTTTTATAAGGTGTTCTAGGAAGCAAGACAAAAGTATTTGGTTAAAGTGGAAAGTCCCCAGTTAGAGGTTAGTTGGTAGTTTCTGACTCTTTACATGGTATTTTGACTCTTTACATTGAATAGGTTTTGGTTTGTTTAACTAGGAACCCAAGGTGCTGGAGCCATCTCAGCCTGATGGCTTCTCAGTTAATTTTTAAAAGCAATTATAATAAGAGGATGGCAGTGGGGAGTCTCTGAAGAATGTTGAGGAAGGAATTGACAAGGTCAGCATTATGCTTTTGTTGAAGTATAAATAGAAGAGAGTTGAAATTAGGCCATGTGTGGATTTCAGATATTTTTGGAACATTTATCTTTTATTTCTAATTAAACTTTGCTTATAAACAATATAAGCTTTTGTGATATCAAAGTGCTCTTAAGGTGTTTTGTTAATTTGCTTTTGAATGGTCCACTTATCATCTTGGAAGAGAAAATAAAAGACATGGACTGACTAGCAAAAAGATTGGATAGAGGTTCAACCCAGAATTGGGGTCTAAGGCTAGGGGAGAATCTGATTAGGGAATCATACTTGGAGGTCTATGGTAAAATAGGTTGTGGAAAATATGGGTTAGACAAAGTTAAATAGACTTCTGTATTGTGGGGCTTCTAGATCCTTAAAGGCATTAATGTATGTTAAAGTGTGTAGGATGTCATCAACTTGTTTCACAACTAAGGAAACTTTGTTCTATAAATAATCATTACAGTCTGGCTAAGGACTAGTATTCCAAGGAACATGTACCCGTTTCCTTTTGCTACAATAGTGCTGCATAATAAGCAACCACAAAACCGCAGTGGAATAGAATAACACATATATATTTAGCCTGTAAGTTTCGGGGAGTTTAGCTGCTCAGTGCTTGACTGATTTCAGCTGATCTCATTCATGTGTCTGTGCTCAGTTGTAGGTTGGGCAGGCAGCTCTGGGTTTGTTCGTATGTCTAAGGGCTCAGCTAGCTGTTAGCTGATCTAGGATGCCATAGCTAACATCTATGCTAGATCAGGGTGACTCACCTCTGCTATATATGTGTCTCATCCTAAGATGCTAGACTTAGCATATACTCCTGGCTATAGCAGAGGAGCAAGAATGAGAGCAAACTCAGTTGTGCAAGCACTTTTCAAGGCTTTCTTTGCATCATGTGTGCTAATATTTCCATTGGCCAAAGGAAGTCACACAGCCAATTGTAGAGTGAGATGACACCACAAAGTTACATAGCAGAGGCTGTGGTTACAGGGAGGGAGCACCGTGCTCTTTTTGCAGTCAGACTATCCTAGATCCCAACTTAGAAATTGCTGGATGAGATCACAGTCAGTTGAGCAAGGAATGAGGTCAGACTTTTCTGCATGCCATGGCCACAGACTGTACTTTTGATTCTGATAAGCAGCCTCACAAGTAGATGTCTGTGCCATGTCAAGGAAGAGAGTTCATCTGGGTCTGCACAGTTCTTTTTTATCTTTCTATGGAATCATTTCATTGAGGACTGAAAGGATTGTGGACATCATCTAGTTGTAGTTGCATCGTGTTGGCAGTCATGAAGGAAACAGTCCTAGAGAGGTTAATAGGGCTCCTTCAATCCAAACAGCTATCTGGAAGCAAATCTGGGCCTTGAACCCAGATCCTCAAGCCAATTGAGTTTTAATTACATCAAAGAAGCTTTGTTGTGGGGTGGAAGGGACTGAAATGTATTTGCAATCTTTATATAGGAACAAATCACATTCCTCCTGGAGGGAATGAAATATAAAGAATTTTTAAAATAGGAAGAATATAGAGTAGTCATGCCTTGTTAGATGTCTCCCAAAGGGCAAAGGGTGAGGATAGTTAAGCATTGAGTGATTTTGAATACTGTGACTGGAGATCCCTGATAATAGAGTTTTGTTTTCATTTTTTTTTTCTCCTCTGTCTCTTCCCTCCCCCCAGGAATTTCTCCTGCATCAGGGAAGTCAACAGAGGACTTCTGAGCAGAGTAAGAATTTGTATTCCAGCTCCTTCTTTATCAAACAGAAGATACAATTGTGAAGGCAGACTCAGCCTTCTAGAATAGCTGACACATTAACCCCTAACTTTGCCAACAGTGATAGGGAACAATTTGTGCTACATAAGTAAAATTTTGATAATGAAATCCTAACCATTTAGCACTGTCAAATTAGCTATTTTCATGATGGAAATATTTTCGGCCTATCAGATGTGTTTCCCTGATTTAATAAACAGAATAATTGAAACTTCCAGCCTGAAGCTTTTAGACATCAGTTATTGAACTGTGCAGTAATACAGGAACATGCCTTGTAAAGAGCCATGTAAGTGTAAGGTGTTGTTATTGTTATTGTTTGCTTGGGTTTCTGGAGTATGTGGGCCACTTGGCTCTAAACTATTGCTTTAGACAGATCTGCTTTTTAAATTCTTGTATTCCTTGTTTGTTTTCAGAGGATTCCCTTGCCCTCTGGCCTCCAGGTAGGTGTAGCCAACAGGAAGCACTGGTGGAAAACTGGAGGGCCAGAAGAGAGAGAAGTCAGGGTATCTTTCTCTGCCTCTCTGCTTTCTTCGGTGTCTCTAGGAACATGTGTGTCTCTTCCATGTGTCTCTTCCAATCAGCTCTCACCAGACACCCCTCTTCTCCACAGCAGCCTGGTCTCCACAGCTGTTGCCCTGGTCTCTGTCAGTTGGCTACAGGCTCTGGGCTCTGATAATGTCACATCCTTCCATTATCCCACCTGTTAGGGAAGATAGCAGCTCTCCTCAGTTGCTAGTCTCTGGGCTGCCTCACTGTCCCTCTGTGGTCTGTCAAATCATTCTATCACATCTGTAACAAGTCACCCGATTTGAAAGACCTAGAGTGGTTTCTGTTTTCTGGTTGATTTTGACTAATAACAGTTTATTGAATTTGCCTTATCTTGCAACCCTTATTTCCCTCCTGATTTGCTTCTTGCAATGTACCGTGCAGACGACATCCATGTTATGCAGTTTATTTCATTAGACATAACAATGGGAACTC